AAAAAAAAAAAAAAGAAAGAAAAGCAACCAAGAACCACAGCTTTGGTAAACTCTGCTTTTGCAGAGGTGAAGGGTAGACTAGCATGTATTACGGGAAGTAGTTTAGATAACAATGTACCCATAGGGATCACAGTTACATAAGAAAAATAAAACTTGGGTAATGAGGAAACAAAAAAATAATCTGTACAGGAAGATTTATGCACAGCACTGAGTACTTACTCAACCAAGAGGGCGATCCATAGCCGCCGCCCCATCATCATCAGTACTGAAAGGGGGTCTCCCTCACTAGCTCAGGCTGGTCTCAAGCTCCTTCCAAGCCAGGGCAAACACTACTATTAATAACCAGCACAGTTGCACTCCGCTTAACACAAACATTGTATCTCAACCAAGTATTTCTTTCAACAAACTACAAAGTCAAGTGTTTAGAATGACACCTGGATGGTGAAACATCTGTGTGACCACCAGACTCATGACTAGGCCTGAGTAATGAGGAAGTTCCTTCAACAAGACTTTTTTTTATCAGTCATGGGACTTGAACTCTGCGCCTAGGCGCTGTCCCTCAGCTCTTCAGCTCAAGGCAAATGCTCTTGAGCCACAGCACCACTTCCCGTTTTCTGGTGGTTCACTGGAGAAAAGAGTCTCACGGCCTTTATTGCCAGGGCTGGCTTTGAACCACCACCCTCAGATCTTAGCCTCCAGAGTATTAGGATTACGGGTATGAGCCAGCAGTGCCCAGCTCGCAAAGACTTTTTGATACATTATGATTCTAAGATTGATGGATAATAATTTAATGTGCAATATGCTTGAAAAAGTCGTATTTAAAATACTGTAAACATACTTCTTTGTTTTTTTGGGGGGGTCTGGTCGTGGGGCCTGAACTCTGGGCCTGGGCGCTGTCCCTCAGATCTTCAGCTCAAGGCAAGCGCTCTACCACTTGAGCCACAGCGCCACTTCTGGTTTTTTTCTTTTTGCTTATGTGGTGCTGAGGAATCAAACCCAGGGCCTCAGGCATGCAAGGCAAGCGCTCTACCACTGAGCCACCTTCCCAGCCCCTGTAAAAATACTTCTTAAGAAGGGAACAAATCCAAAAAGCCAACTGAAAATAAAACATTAAAGAATTACCTTTACCTTTCAGTTTTTTTCTGTTTTTTTTTTGTTCAATCATGGGGTTTGAACTCAGGGCCTGGGCTCTATCCTGAGCTTTTTTACTCAAGGCTAGTATTCTACCACTTTGAGCCACAGCTCCACTTCCGGCTTTCTGGTGGTAAATTGGTGACAAGAGTCTTACAGATTTTCCTGCCCAGGCTGGTTTTGAACTGCAATCCTCAGATCTCAGTCTCCTGAGTAGGTAGGATGACGGGTATGAGCCACAGGCTCCTGGCTACCTTTCAGGACTTCTAATCACCTACTTCCAATAATTAATGGGATCTAAGAAGACCAGATTCTCACATCATGCCATAAGACAGCCTCAGGATTTTGGATCTAAAAAAACAAAACAAAACAAAACAATACATGATAATTCCTGATGCACCGAGTCTACGAAGGCGAGAGACCAGGACACTGCCTTGGCTGGAGCTTGCTCGGCGTTAACTAGGTGTCTTACAGTGGGCCTGAGGCCTGTGGCAGTCCCAGCCCAGCCTCATGCTTCTTAAACCCCTGGAGGTGGGGGTGGGGAAGCACCGGGAAGCTCCAGTGATCTGACCACACCAATTACCAGGATTAGGGATTTCACAATCCTGAGGCTAAGCGGGGGTCAGGGTGGATTTGATGAACTATTCAGTGTCCTGGGCCAGGCAGGGCAGGCTCCACTCGGGGCCCGGGGCCTGCTACTGCACAGCAGAGCAGGGCAGCGTGGCCCGGAGCTCTGGCTCTACTCCATCTCAGTCACGTCTGCGGGGCCTCAGGCGCTCTCTCCAGGCCAGTTCCTAAGAACTACCTGACAATGTATTTGGCAGTGCTTTCACAACTGCAAGATGCTGAATGTACAGCATCATTTCGGCCATGAGCAAAATAACCACCATTTGTAATTTTTACATTATTTTTTTGTTTTGAAAGTTATAAGGTCTTTTCCAATTTAAGACTTTTAACACTGAAAGTTTTTTACTGTCTACATTTCAACGTTTTTCCAATCTGTGCTGCCTACACTGGCCTTGAACTCCCGACTAAGCTCCTGCTTCTGCCTCCCAAGTAGGCTGAGACTACAGGCACACATCACCATGCCCAGCTCTCTGTATGTTTTAGCTTACCACGTGTCACATGCAGTGAACAGAATTCACGTCAGTACACACACACAGGCCTACTTCTGTACTACTGCACAGTCTGTGACAGTCTTTATAGTCATATTAACTTTTTTTTTTGCCAGTGACCAGGGTTTGAACTCAGGCCCTCAGCTTGCTAAGCAGAAGCAACGCCATACCTCGAGGCCCGGGCCCACTGGCTGTCCGTGGGTAAGGCTTTGCTTCCTGCCCGAGGCAAGCACCTGACCTGCAAACGTCTACCTTAGGCTTCCGGACATGCTGGGATCAGGCATGCGCCACCCCACGCCGCTCGCCTTCCAGGGAGATGGCGTCTCCGGGACCCCCAGTCCTCCCACTCTTAGCTTCACAAGTAGCTAAGACCAGGACTGACTCCAGGACAGATACACGATGTCATTGTTTGATCCTAATTAGTGCCTATAAGAAAGGTGTTAGATATATTAAATTCTGATAGATCTACTCTAGAATGCTTAATAATTTTTAACAAGAATTTACAAAGTTTAGATTTAAAGGAGCTGTATAAAAACAAGCAGGGTGCTGGTGGCTCACACCTGTCATCCTAGCTACTCTGGAGGCTGAGGATCTGAGGATCTGAGGATTGTGGTTCAAAGCCAGCCCGGGCAGGAAATAAACCACCAGAAAACTGCAAGTTGTGCTGTGGTAGAGCGCTCGCCTTGAGCTGAAGAGCTGAGGGACAGCACCCAGGCTCTGAGTTCAAGCCCCGTGACCAACAAAAAACAAAACCCCCCACAACTATAGACTTCAAAAATGAACTAGAAAGCCATCCACTATTTCCAAGGCCATGTCAATAGACAAAACTTCCTTCTAAATAAAAGTCCTAGATGTTTAATTCTCACAAACCATTGGATGAGCTGGAGATGGTTACCCACCAGGGCCAAATGGCTAGGAAGTGCCGACTCTCATTAGACAGACAACAGTGGCCGCTGATAGGGACTGCATGAATCTCTACCATTTCACGATCTTTATTCCCGTGCCATTTCCACTACTCCCTGTGGAGGATCGAACACACAGGCCTGAGCGTGCTAAGTGTTCCACACTTGAGAGAACATCCCAGAGCTTAAAAAAAGAAAAAAAGTGTGCTTTCATTCAGCTGATCACGAACCTTCTGAATTTTGGAAATGTAATCAAGCAAAACACTCAAGTTTATAGAAGTGGCTTAGAAATTATAAAAGTGGCTGTAATAAGAGTGCTACAGAAACCATAAAAATATCAACTAAACATAAAGACCAGGAGAAAGGGCCCAACTGAGCGGAAAGGCAACTTGATGGCAGTTTGTTATGCTGAGGAGACAAGTGGGGGGGAGCGGGCGGTCTAGGTCAGTCACATGTGAAAAGCAAGCATGGGTCACCAGTGAGGGGTGCCCACAGCGGGGTGGCAGTGTGGGTCCCCACTTGACCCCAGGTTGCTCTGGCACAGGCACAAGCACACTCACGGTTTCAGTGAACACTAACACACCCCACGAGGTCCGACCAGCCACCATAAAAATAAAAGGCTAAAAACTCACTCACGGTCTTCGGTGGGGAGCACCTGCAGCGAGTAGATCCACTCTATTATGTCACCTCTGTTCACCACGTCTAAGGAGTCCAACATATCCAGCCCGGAGAGAGCAAAAAACGCAACTGTCAACCTAAAAGAAAAAAACACCAAACACCGCCTTCACTGTCATGCCATGGGACCATGGAGCGGGCCGGCCCGGCAAGGCAGCGCAGCACCCATCCCACCGCGTCACCACACCACGCAATGGCTTTTAAACTCAATAGCCGCAGTCGCACCTCTGATTTTAAAAAAAAAGAGCTTTAAGAGCTCACCCGAAGCAGCTATGAGTGCACTGGAGCCCGAGCATGAGCGGCTGAGGAGGTGACAATCAGCACAATGGGCTTGGAACAGGCTGGGAACCCATGATGAAAAGGTCAATTTTCACTGATAGGGCAAAAGCAGGTATGCTTCTCAATTTTAGCTTTTTTGGGGGTGGGGTGGGGTTGGGGGTTCCAGGTACTGGGGCTTGAACTCAAGGCCTGCCCCTTAGCTTTCTTGCTCAGTGCTGGCCCTCGAACGCCTTAACCACAGCTCCACTCCTGGCTTTCAGGCATGAACTGAAGGAAAGAGTTCACAGGCCTTCCTGCCCTGGCTGGTTTCCAACCTCGACTCTCAGACCCCAGCCCTGGGAGTAGCCAGGACTCCCTCCTGCCGGGACCCCACTTTAGAGCCCTGTGACCTTCGTCACCGATGGATCAAGGGACGGGGGACTGGCAGCACTTGGTTTTCTTCCCGAGAAGATGGAGAGATGACCTCCAAGGTCCGCGCGCCACACCAACGCGGAGACCTCTCCCGTCTCTTCCTCCCCATCTATCTGTGGTTTCAGAACAGGGAAGAGTGCGTGCAGGGCTGCTTCCGCCTGCTCAGGAGGTCACATTGAGCACTTGGTTCTCATGGAGAACTGAGTCCCCACTTCGTTCTTCCTGTGCCGAGTCCACAGGCCCGTGTTCACAGTGGAAATGGGCCTGAGCAAGCCAAGGCAGAATTCCTTGGGCTGGGCAGGGCAAGGCTGGGCTGGGTTAGGGAGAGGACCAAGTGGCCCCCACAGGACTCCTGGTAGAAACCACTCCCCCAAAGGAGAACACACCAGAAATGAAAGGTGACCGGGTTCTGGTCTGGAAGTTCGGTTCTGTTTCGTGATGCCTACAAGTTCAGTACTAGCTCTTCGGTGAACACTTTTCTCTGTAAGGATGTATGATACTAGAAACACTACTTCCCCCGTGAAGGAGTTGTAAAGATGTGACTAAGCTTCAAACAGCTGCAGTGAGTCAGCCACCGCCAAGTATGAATGAATAACGCTTCAAACTCTCCTTCACACGGGACCTGAGCCGTTCACGAGCATGTGCTGGGATCTGGGTGCGGTGTGCGTGCTGGAGGGGGCGGGGGGGGGCCTCCTCATAGCCTCTCAGCCCCTCCTTTGCTCCCCCTGCCTCCTTCCTTGCTTGTGGTGGTAGTGGAGTAGAACTCAGGCCTCTGGGTGTTAGGAAGGCACTCTACTCCTTGACGGCCCCGGAACTGCCTGTCACCCTTGGTGCTTTATTTTAGGTCACTCTTCAAGTAGGGTCTTCAGTTTGGACAATCCAATCTCCTGCCTTTCACTTCCTACCTGTGAACCACAGCCACACAACCCTACACCTGGCTTCTTTGTTGAGAAAAAAGTGCCCCTAATTTTTTCCTGGGCTGTCCTCGAACCAAGACTCTTTTGACCTATGCCTCTTGAGGAGCTGGGATTACAGTGTGTGCTACTGTACCCAGCCTACTTTTTTTTCTTTAATGCAGTCATTTATTCCTAATTTTAGAACACTGCAACGTGATGTAGCTATGTCCCCACTTGACATCTAGGCAGCTGGTAAAGATGCCCAGGGACACCTGTGAAGGAAAGGAGGTGAGCAAAGCAAGTGGCTCGAACTCTGTGAACAGTCAACGCTCATACATCAGCACTCCCAACGTGCCAGTCCAACCTGACACAACAGCACTAGTCATTCCCATCGGCTCAGGACGGCTATCTTCCCGTCTTCCTACTCCCCTGATCCCCACAACACAGTGGGTTTTTTTTTTTTTTAAAGAGTCTTTCACCATGCCAGCCTCTGGGCAGCTGGACTGTAGGTTTGCACCACAACACCTGGCTCAGAATGGGTCTTCTATTCCTTTGTTAATATAAAAGAAAAACCTCAGCAAATGACATACTTAATTTTCCGGAGACATGGTCATCAGAAAACTCTTAGTATCAATCGATATTTTCTGACTACAAGGTTGTGTTTCTGAGTGCCACCAAGCAAGAAAACCAAACAAGCCAGAGGCCTTGAATTCAAACCCCATACCAACAAACCCAACCCACCACCTACAAATATACATATACCTATATATACATATTTACACACACACACACACACACACACACACACACACACACACACACACGTTCTTATCAGACTGGAAAAAGCAGGGAAATGGAGCAACTTTGTCCTAATAGTGGGGAATGTTTTTAAACATCCAGTCCAACGCCAGCCTTGAGGGCCCTATTTTGCTGGTTTGTCTTTGCCCATACTTGTTTCTTCAGAGGCGCTCAGTGAACGCATGTAGAACTGAACTGAAATACTGAGCAAGAACCTAACTCAGGCCACAGTGTTGTGTTTTAAAACTCTTAAGAGCCGGGTGCTGGTGGCTCACGCCTGTTATTCCAGCTATCAGGAGGCTGAGATCTGAGGATTATGGTTCAAAGCCAGCCCGGGCAGGAAAAGTCTGTGAGACTCTTATCTCCAATGAACCACTAGAAAACTGGAAGTGGCACCGTGGCTCAAGGTAGAGTGCTTGCCTTGAGCTGAAGAGCTGAGGGACAGCTCCCAAGACCAAAGTTAAACTTCATGATGGACAAAAAAAACTCTTAAGATGGGGGCTGGGAAGGTGGCTCAGTGGTAGAGCGCTTGCCTTGCATGCATGAGGCCCTGGGTTCCATTCCTCAGCACCACATAAGCAAAAAGAAAAAAACCGGAAGTGGCGCTGTGGCTCAAGTGGTAGAGCGCTAGCCTTGAGCTGAAGAGCTGAGGGACAGCGCCCAGGCCCAGAGTTCAGGCCCCACGACCGGACCCAAAAAAACTCAAGATATTTTGTGACCAAAAGGTTGTGATTTTGTGCGACACAATCTTAATTATAAATCACAATTATCACAAAAAAAAAAAAAACAGTGTAAGCCAGGCATTGGTGGCACCTGCCTGTCATCCTAGCTACTCAGGAGGCTGAGATCTGAGGATCAAGGTTCAAAGCCAGCCCTGGCAGGAAAGTCCGTAAGACTCTGATCTCCAATAAACCACCAGAAAACCAGAAGTGGTGCTGTGGCTCAAGTAGTAGAGTGCTCATCTTGAGCTGAAGAGTTGAAGGACAGCACCCAGGCCTGGAGTTCAAGCCCCACGATCAAAACCAAAACCAAAACCAACAAAAAAACATAGTGTAACCATAGGTAAGACTGTGAATCCTTCAAGACAAAAACAGAAGAAAAATAAACAAATGACCTAATGTGATCCATCCAGTTATTTCTTAAAAATAAGCCATAGGAAACTAAAAATGATTTTAAAATTCAGTGTGGCAGATGCCTGTAATCTCACCACTGGGGAGTCTGGGTGCACTGGTCAGTCTATACAGCAAGACGAGGTCTTGGGCAGGAGAAAAGAAGAGGGAGAGAAAATATATAAACACTCATCTCTTCATTAATGCACCAGTATGCAACATGTCTATCCTCTAATATTCAATGTTTGATGTCAATCCTAGACCTATAATAAAAATGAACTATTAAACTCATTAAGTCAAGCCCGGCCCAGGTGACTCACACTTGTCATCCTAGCTACTCAGGAGGCTGAGATTTGAGGATTGTGGTTCAAAGACAGCCTGGATAGGAAAGTCTATGAAACTCTTATCTCCAATGAACCACCAGAAAACCAGAAGTGGTGCTGTGGCTCAAATGACTGACCAATAAATAAATAAAAATTCATTAAGTCATACAATTGCTCTTTTGGGTGGGGAGTTTGGTCGTGGGGCCTGAACTCTGGGCTTGGGAGCTATCCCTAAGCTCTTCAGCTCAAGGCTGGCACTCTACTACTTGAGCCACAGCGCCACTTCCGGATTTTCTTTTTGCTTATGTGGTGCTGGGGAATTGAACCCAGGGCTTCATGCATGCAAGGCAAGTGCTCTACCACTGAGCTACCTTCCCAGCCCCATATAATTTCTCTATTCACTTAATCAGGTTTATGAGCAGAGATTACACTATTTGTATTTTTTCTCTTTCTTTTTGTCAGTGGTGGGGCTTGAACTCTGGGCCTAGACGCTGTCCCTCAGCTTTTCAGCTCAAGGCTAGCACTTGCCTCCCCCCCCTTTGTATTCTTTTACAGGGTTTCATAAACCTGGAAATTTACAGGGCAAAACACTGGCATTTTGCAAATAAAGTCATAGACCTGTAACTACAGCTGTAAGCAGAGTGTGACTTGAAAATACAACTTAACAAAAGGGCAGGGTTTTTGTTTGTTTGTTTTGTCGGTTGTGGGTCTTGAACTCTGGGCCTGGGCGCTGTCCCTCAGCTCTTCACCTCAAGGTGAGCACTCTACCACTTGAGCCACAGC